CGATTGACGATAGGTATAAACTTTATTATACAGGGTGGGCAGAGAGGACGGACGTTTTTGGGATGGGTAGTACACTCCGCCTCCGTCTACGAGAGAGGTGGGGAGGGTGCCGTTTTACTCGTGAGATCCTAGCATTATTTTACCAGTTGTCGTTATGGAGCCTTGGACGGTGGAGCACCGCGTTTTCGCCTATGAGTGACGTAGCCCACTTTCACCTAAACAGCATGGTTAACCAGCAGAATTGTCGTTATTGGGCTATTGAAAATCCGCAACAGTTACACGAAAGACCGCTGCATATGGGGACACCTCGAGGCTAGAGTATACGCGAACAAGCCCCGGACTCTGGACGAATTGAAGGGCGAAATTCGCGTGGGAGTCGACCAAGTTGAGAGACCGATGTTGGAAAGAGTCTACGCGAACTTCCAAGAACGCCCACAGCACTGCATCAACGATTTCGGCCACCACATGCCTGATGTGATTTTCCACACTTGACTGTCTCAAATGCTATTTCCTTGTGAACCTGATTCCATCAATAAATTTGTTTTCGAGTAAAAATTAACTATTTTATGATTTTTTGAAAACCGTCCATCCTCTCTGCCGCACCCTGTACAACAGTTACTAAAAATTAAAAAAGGGGGTTGTTGTGCCACCCTGTATAGTTCCCTTGTAACCTTCCTATATCAGCTGTAAAAACTAAAGGGCGATTATGATAAGCAGATAAACAAGAAAGCGATCCCCCAAAGAATAAATTTGAATTCATCATTCTGGGGAAGAGAATAAACAAGGAAGAAAAGTTCTAAGAAGTTTTATTAAATCTTGTGTTCGAACGAAAATCAATCTATCTCATTGTAAAGCTAACAACGTGGATATTGAATCATCCCCGAAAAAAAAGTTTTCGGTGATTTTCGTCATAAAATATGTTGGATTTATTAACCTTACGAAAAATGTGAAACTTGATATACTGTACACATCCATCATTTTTGATCAAAGGAGTGTGATACGTATTAAGTCTATTTTTTCGCTTTCAAGTGATCACCGATTTACTTAAGACAAGAGTGTTTGTCGAACATTTATATGTACGCAAGAATTTTTGAAAATAATGAGTATAAAAACATATCGTTTTAGACAAGCTCCTTGAGCTCTGAGGAGAAAAGAAACACAAAATGGTATGTTCCTATATCTTATACCACATCAGCGGACACAGCCAAATTCATTACCAAGCCTCGGTTTTGGGTTACTCCGTATGATCAGGCTCAAAAGCTAGCCAAGTTACAAGGATCGAATTCGTGGATTATATTGAACAACAATCAAATAGGTGAGACTTGTTCATATATGCGTCAATTTTTGTCAAGCGAGCTTTATTGTGAGGATGTCCCTTAAATAGGAAAGGATTATCTAAAACTCATGGAATAACAAGAGCGACAACAGCGAGTATGACCTTGAACTACAAATTAAGATCATGACCCAGAAAATCTTTATTCAGATATGACCTTGGGTGAGAGTTACTTTGACCTTGAAGGTCATAGTGAAAATCCTCGATGAAGAGATTTCAGGGATCTTCCTAAAATAAAGCAATAAATAAATATGGTCAGTATGGGCTTCAAGTCTCTCTGGCTCTGGCTAAAATGACCTTGACACCATGACTTTGGAGGTCAAATCAGATACAGTTTTCTCCTGAGGTCATGTCTGAACGATAAATTTTTCATTTTATTTCCGCGGTCAAAAGTACAGGATATCAGGCAAACATTTGTTTTTAGATTGACTTGGCTTTCAAGATCATAGTCAATGACAGTTTCAAGGTTAACAGTGAATAGATGGAAAAAATTCAGGACCTTGCTACCTTTCGGGTTTTATTTATGCTTTATATTCAGAAATATTCCTAAAAGTCCAATAAACGGGCTTATTACTAGGACCTTGATCAGGAAATTGAATATCAAAACGATTTTCATACAAAGTCATGTCTGAACGTGAAATTTCTTTGCTCTATCTGTTTTCGTGGTCAAATGTATGGAGTTCGATTAAAGATAATTGATTTGGCATTGATTTGAACATCAAGGCCTCGATAAAGGTCAGTTTCAAGGTCATCATTAAATGGCAAGAAAAAAGTTGAAGCTTCTGCAGTCTTTGGGACCTTATTTTTGTTTTATTTCCAGAAAGATCTCGTAAATATTTTCAAACGAAACAATGACATTGACCAGGTACTTTCACAATCAAACATATTTTTCAAGCAAGATTTTATCTGAACGTTGAAATTTCCTCTCCACCCCTGGACATTTTTATTCAGATATGATCTTGGGTGAGAGTTACTTTGACCTTGGAGGTGGTAGTAAAATCCTCGTTTAAAGAGATTTCAGGGATCTTCCTATGGTCAGTATGGGCTTCAAGTCTCTCTGGCTCTGGCTTAAATGACCTTGACACCATGACTTTGGAGGTCAAATCACGGTGAATAGATACAGCTTTCACCTGAGGTCATGTCTGAACGACAAATTTTCAATTCTATTTTCGCGGTCAAAAGTACAGGATATCAGGCAAAAATTTGTTTTTAGATTGACTTGGCTTTCAAGATCATAGTCAATGACAGTTTCAAGGTTAACAGTGAATAGATGGAAAAAAAATCAGGCGCTAGCTACCTTTGGGTTTTTATTTATGCTTTATATTTAGAAATATTCCTAAAATTCCAATAAACGGGCTTATTACTAGGACCTTGATCAGGAAATTAAATATCAAAACGATTTTCATCCAAAGTCATGTCTGAACGTGAACTTCCTTTGCTCTATCAGTTTTCGTCATCAAAAGTATAGAGATCCATTAAAGAGGATTGTTTTGGCATTGATTTGAACATCAAGGCCTCGATAAAGGTCAGGGATTACTAAGAGAATACAATAAGTACTCTAAAGTCAGTATGTGCTTTGAGTATCTCCGGCTATTGGCTGGTGATCTTTAAAATGACCTTGACCATTACTTTGGAGTTCAAATCACGGTAAATGCAGTTTTCACCAGAGGTCATGTCTGAACCTAAAATTTGCCGTTCTATTACCGCGGTAGAGGATATAAGATAAACGTTGTCTTGAACTTGACTTGACCTTCGAGATCGTAGTCAATGTCAGTGTCAAGGTTAGCAGTGAATGTCTGGGAAACAATCTAGACCCTTGCCACTTTTGGGTTCTCGTATATGTTTTATATTCAGAAATATTTCTAAACTTCCAATAAACGGATCCGCATGAGTTTCTTCAAAACAGCATACATTCTTCAATAATTGAGATATTCACATGAATAAAAAAAGAACTGTTGAGGATAGTTGAGGCTTAAGATTCTCATACGAAGACACATTAGTCAGTAATTCAATGTTTCCACAGGGTGAATAAAATTTTGTTTGTCCGAATAATTTTGCATGGCGGTATATTTTACAGCCTGTGCTTTAGGACATCAAGTTTCTGTCAGATTTTAATGAATCATACTTGTTAAATAAACAACTTTTGTAGTAACGTAACCGTAGATTATGACATAATAATCAAAAACAATGAGTTTGGTTTGATCGTTATTTACATACCATAAACTAAGCCTTTTGTTAATTTTTAATGATTATCAGGTTACTATAGAGTGAATTACGATCACACTCTTTGGGACAGAATCACATCCGCATTGGAAAAAGAAGATTTTGACGGTATAAGTGAAATCAACAGAGCTCAAATTATTGACGACTTGTTCTTCTTAGCTAAGCATAGGAAAATCTCCTATACGAGAGTTTTTAGAACAACGAACTTTTTAAAGAGAGATACGTCTTACTTTTCTTGGGCCTCAGCCATTAAAGAGGCCGACTACGTTTTGAGTACGGTTGATGAAGAATCAGAATCTGGCCAAGGGTTCAAGGTAAGAGAGGGAAATCATTTATTCTTAACACGCTTTTATTAGCTTGGCCTGTATGTATTTAACGGAATCTTTGAGCATAACTTTCACCAATTTCCAGTAGTTTGATTAATTTGAAACTTCGCACACGTATCAAGGACCGATTATAATGCAATAATTTGATGCTTTCCATTATACGTATTAGAACCGCCAGGATTGACAAATTCTTTTATAGATCCTCCGTAGGGGAGTAAGAGAGATAGAGCTAGCGCGCAATCTGCGCATGCGTGCAGTTTAGGACTTACTCTTTGTTGGCACAACACAACGGAGGCAGATACTTTTTCAAGGTAGCGCATTCTCACCTTGTTCATTGCGATTGTTGCCGTTAATACTGAGTTGGACTTCGACAGTTGATCATGCAGTCGTATATCTAGGCTCGCGGCTGTTTGCTGCAGGACATGCTTATGTAGCACTTAGTCGTGTAAGATTATAATAAAAAAATTAAGTTATTAACAGAATAATTCAATTCAGAGTAAAAAGCGTGGAGTTATTCTCTTAATAACTTACATTTTATTATAGTTTTATTTTGATGTCATTAATTATGATCGATTGTTAGATCATCTACTACTGTAGTATAAACTATTTGTAATTAAAAATTATTTTGTATTTTTTAATTCGGTTAGCTATAAAAGCGTGTTTTTTAGTTTTTTGAACTATTATTTATTTGATAGCACTCTTCGTTTATCCTGTGTTCTAAAATATCTAACTACACAGACTTTTCGATATTTTTTTAGCTTACTCTTCTACTGCATCTTGAAAGGATATACAGGTCAATACCATTTGACCCAGAAGATTCTGAAGACCACTTGACTGCCGTAAAGAGGGACGCGATATTTACATTTGCCTGCAAATTGGGATACTTGCACTGTATTGAGGAAGTCCAGAAACGATTCAAAAATTTCGTTGAAAGAAGAATTAGGTATCTAAGCTTCAGTGATAATGATCGAACATCTGTACTTAAAAAGGCCACCGTGGCAGTAAACGATACAGAGAAATCCAAATATCACTGACGAGGTAATGCGCGGCTGCGCTCGTGGCGTTGCACTCAGGTTGCTAGGCAACGTGGCGCTTCTATATTTTTCTAACATCCGTATTGCATGCTTCTCGCGCTTTTCTTTCCTACACATTACGACGTCAGTGGTATATGGACTTCTCTGTATGCACATATTTAAATGCATCTGGTTCCTTGAAATACTAACAGAGATTTTATTTATTCATACACGGTTTCCCATTATATACAAACAAATTATATACAGGACAAGATAAATGCCATCTGATTTTGATAAATTTTCTACTATTCTTTGGAGCTCTATTTTTTGAGTTACATAAATATAAAAAAATTAATTATAATTTATTTTATTTTAGGCCGCATAGGGACTTACGAAGTCTGGTCTACTGCAATGGCATACGGTACAGTGAAAATGTCAAAGACTGGGACTTTCTGTGGAATCAGTACGAGTCTAATGTAACATCTGAACAAGAAGCTATTCTTTCAGGATTAGCCTGCACAAAAGATCCATCGCTTTTAAAAAGGTAAAGTAGTTTTAGTATTCCTATACAATGTTTCTGTCGAGAAGAAATAATAAATGAATAAATGAATAAATGAATAAATGAATAATGAAATGAATAAATGAATAAATGAATAAATGAATAAATGAATAAATGAATAAATGAATAAATGAATAAATGAATAAATGAATAAATGAATAAATGAATAAACGAATAAACGAATAAACGAATAAACGAATAAACGAATAAACGAATAAACGAATAAACGAATAAATGAATAAATGAATAAATGAATAAATGAATAAATGAATATATGAATAAATGAATAAATGAATAAATGAATAAATGAATAAATGAATAAATGAATAAATGAATAAATTAATAAATGAATAAATGAATAAATGAATAAATGAATAAATGAATAAATGAATAAATGAATAAATGAATAAATGAATAAATGAATAAATGAATAAATGAATAAATGAATAAATGAATAACTGAATAACTGAATAAACGATTATACGAAAAAACGAATAAACGATTAAACGAATAAACGAATAAAATAAACGAATAAAACGAATAAACGAATAAACGAATAAACGAATAAACGAATAAACGAATAAACGAATAAACGAATAAACGAATAAACGAATAAACGAATAAACGAATAAACGAATAAACGAATAAACGAATAACGAATAAACGAATAAACGAATAAACGAATAAACGAATAAACGAATAACGAATACACGATAAACGAATAAACGAATAAACGAATAAACGAATAAACGAATAAACGAATAAACGATAAACGAATAAACGAATAAACGAATAAACGAATAAACGAATAAACGATAACGAATAAACGAATAAACGAATAAACGAATAAACGAATAAACGAATAAACGAATAACGAATAAACGATAAACGAATAAACGAATAAACGAATAACGAATAAACGAATAAACGAATACACGAATAAACGAATAAACGAATAAACGAATAAACGAATAAACGAATAAACGAATAAACGAATAAACGAGTAAACGAATAAAGTAATAAATGAATAAATAAATACATAGTGATGGGGAGTATTTTGATGACGACATCGATATACCCTCACATGTTACTATCGAGACATGACCCTTATCGAACAAAAATTAGTAATCATCTATATATTTTATACGAAGGTTTATAATACTTAATAAACTGTCTTCTAGTGTTACCAACACTGATAACTATGTTTTATATTCTGATTGCAGACTTTTACTTAAAACAATCGATGACTCTACAAAGATGAGGGCACAAGATGCATGGACAGCGTTCAGCTCGATCTATAGGTCTAGTTCAGAAGGTGTAGATGCAGCTGTAGTTTTCTTTGCGGAGAATTACAATAAAATTGTTGAAAAGTAAGTGTATGTTTACGATTATAACATTTTTTTCAACGATTTCGAACCAATGATTATGTATGAGGTCTGTAAATTGAGTGATGAGATTGATTTTTATTTTAACTTGTTCTTCAAATATAATCATAATTTTCTTCTGAAGCCACACAGCGCTGGAGACGGTTCCTCAGCTCCTCATAGCAGTGCTGGAACTCCGACACTGGAATAGCCTTCAGGTCAGTTACAGGCGCTGGAATGTTTTCGACTCGGGCGCGTCCAAACTTGTACTGAAGGCGGATCACATGTTCCCCTGTCTCCCCTCCTACGCAGGAGTCTCCAGTGTTGCCAGATCGAACGCTACGTTGCCTGTCTCATTACTTATTTTTGCAGACGTCGTATATGATATACAGTTTTCAAAAGTAACATTATTTACGGCAGAAATTTTTGGGTTCATTTAAAAAAAAGTTTCTTATAAATGATTGCCCAAACATCTTCAATCTCTAGTGAGGTTTTCAAAACGTTTTATAATATGTCTGATGCTAGTGTATAATAGATATTTCAATGAAATTTAGTGCATTTTTTGACGTATAATAGGTTGTTTATTTCTTCCAGTGGCCTTCTTGTGGGATATGATCTAAATTGTATTTAAGCAAAATATGTCAGTACATTTTATCGAAACAAACATTATTTTTTGGCTCTCATCCACTTTTGAGCTAATTTAATCTGTACGTATACAGTGTGTCCAAAATATTGACGGAGATATTTTAGAGATTCCTTGTTGAAAAATATGAAAGAAAAAGATTTTATAAATATGGGCCAGGAGTTTTCAAGATACAGGGTGATAAAAATAAAATAAAAAACCGTTTTAATGCATGTCACTGGACAAAATTGGTTTATTAATTTTTGCTGAAAAAAGTGCCTTGGAAAACAAAGAAAGTGTAATATTCCATCACGCTTATAGTAACTTTTTTCATATTTTTTAACAAGGAATCACTCTCTAAAATACCTCCGTCTATTTTTCGAGTATATCGATTATATGTAGTTTTTTGAATGAATAAGAGATCGACGTTATACCATAAATTGTACTGAAGTAATCAATGGTCGATGATAAAGTCACGATGTCAGTAACATAATGACAACAAATTTATATTATGATTTTTTGAAGTTAGGTTATTTCACTGATTATTCGAACACCAAAGGCCAAAGTATTATTCGAAAACAACCTAACTTGCTTTAACATAACCTAACTATTTATCTTTCAAATATGATCGATCGTGCAACATGAAAACATCGTCTATCTGTATCGGATATATGCAAATTAGCAATACAGTCTGTCTTTACTACAGACTAAAATGATGACGTAATCGTCATCTTTCGTGATTTCGACTATATGAGTGAGATTGAGATCACCACATTGCTACTGCCTTATTTCAGGTACAAAAGTATGTTGGTCATAGGAGACCTGCTGGTCGACGCGGCAAGTAGAGTGACAAATGACCAAAGTCTTGCAAGCGTGAGTATAATTTCCACCCTAATTACGGTAGAGGACACTGCGGATAATAAATGGAAAAGGGCATTCAGAGTCCTCACGGAAATAATGACTAGAAAAGGAGAAGTTTTGAGATAATGGGGGGTGCCGAAAACATCGTGTTATTCATATGGGAAATTTGCGTCTGAAGTACGGTCTTCACACACATATACAGAATATATATATATATATATATATATCTATACAGGGTGTCCGCAAAGTTGGGGTTTTCCTTTTCAGAAACAACTACCCTTGAAATAACAAAGGTAATGTGTAGTGAAACGAGGGCGACCAAGTAAAAAAAAATAAAGGAAAAGGTACTCACTCTCCAGTTGACGAGAAGGGCTAAGTACGTCTCTGCCCGAAATCATACCGCTCCAACAGAAAATGAAATCAGCTGATACGCTACCGAGCAGACGCCGGCGATGGTGCAGATCACGAACAGAGGCAACAAATATGACCATCGTGCAGAAACCACATTGATTGTCTTACACTTAATGGCACATCTTCTAACAAGGAAGGCAAAATGTTGCGTAAAAAGTCTAAGTATTGCATCCCGTCCAATCGATTTGGGAGAATAAATGGTCCAATGAGCATACCGTTCACCATGCCAGCCCAAACATTCACCGAAAATGTTTGTTGAAAATGTGCCCGACGGACAGCGTGCGGATTTTCTACTGACCAAACATGAGTGTTGCGAAAGTTATTCACCCCATTACGCATGAACGTAGATTCGTCCGTCACCAATATGCACTTCAAAAAGTCCGGATTATTGTCATGTTGATGCAACAACCACTCACAAAACCGCACTCTTGCTGGAAAATCGTCAGGTTGAAGGGCTTGTACACGTTGGACGTGAAACGGATCGCAGCGTTTGCCACACTTTAGTTTTTGATACTTGCACTTCTCTAGCCACGTCTCTAGTGCTTGTTGAGGGATTCTCGTCTACGCGATTACCTCTACACGCGTGACCGTAACTGTCGGTTGAAGGTTGCATACTGACCTGACACACTGACCCCGACCCAGTTCTGTCGTCGGGTTGAGCTAGTGTCCTAGAACCAGTCGGAGATGTCGCGGCTACAGGACGGTATTCAGATATTTTTGATGTTGTAGAGCCCTTTATCTCGGTTCCCTTAAGACATTGGTGTATATGGTACTAAGAAAAATTGCTTATGTTTTCAAGATCTACACATCGTGTAAAGGAAAACCCCAACTTTGCGGACACCCTGTATATATATAAGTTGAGACGTGATCATTGTCATTTAGACCAGTTAGGTGAAAAATAAAGCTTCCGCCTTTCCAAAGAGGACTCCTTATACTTTATTAATCTCTAGCTTTCAATGCACTTTGCCATCTTCACCAAGAGCTGCAATAACATTGAGAAGAAATAGCAAATATTGTGCAGAATGATTTTAAATTAACTTGCAGTCGTATGTGAGATTGTTTATTTATATACTCGTATATATAGAGAGAGAGAGAAAATGATCATGCGGAGAAAGGTATATAACAAAAAGTAGGAAAATAATGGGCAAAATCTGCAAAAAGGAAAAGGAAAAAAGTGTATCGTTTTTCCCCCTCCATCTTCGTTTCCTCAGGTTACATCCGTATCCGGAAGTGTGGGTATGTGTATCTACTTTTGTAGTTGCATATGTGCATTCATTTCGGGCCTGATGAAGCCAACTAGCAGAAATACGTATCGCTCGGGTTACCTATCCTATTTTCTGCTCGAATCCACTTTCCTTCTTTTTGCGGATTTTGCCCATTATTTTCCTACTTCCTAACGCAATGCTGTATAAATTCATCCACTTGCCGGACAGTGCATTTGAAAACGTGATTTATGTGATAAGCGCCAGGGCTTCTTCAGGTACAATTCCAAAACGTAGTACGTTACAGTTAAGTTAAAACATATACAGGGTGATTCACAAGTCGTGACCAAAAAATTAAAAATCATGTACAGAACCGCATTTTAAGGGGGGTTTTCTATGTAACATTTTTTAGATACGGGTTATTGAAGTTTAAGAATAAAACACATTTTTTTAATATCTTAAAAACGGTTAACCGGAATCAACTAAAATTTTGGTATGTGGATTTACTTAACTATTATCCACATTCAAAAGTCTTTACCCAAAATTAGCATGTACCAGTGGAGGAGGTACAGGGGATTAGTGTCCAAATAAAAATAGTACGTAACTGTTTTTTTTTCGAATTTTTCCTTCAATTTGCTACAATTGTGTTTTTTCCCAAAGTGCATTGATTTCGTAAAAATAAAAATAACAAATTAGATAATCAAAGCTTTATTTCAATAAATGTTAAAAAAACAAAATTCTGGCGGATACAAGTGCGGCATCTTTTTGATAAAGAAAAACGTATTTCTGCAAAATTTGTTGTGGCTTGAATTTGATGAAACGTATTATCTATTCTTTCTCGAGGAAAAAATTTTACATTAAAGACCCCCCTAAAGGCGGTTCTGTGTATGATGTCTCATTTTTGGTCACGACTTGTAAGTGGTCCGACAATGGAATCCTACGAACACGAAAACTAAATGATACGTTTCGGAAGTTACATTATAGAAAACGCTCTTCAATATCTGTTTTGTTGTAGCTCATGGCTTTTGTCGAAGAGGCAAATAAAATGCACAAGGAAATCGCTCCTAAAGCCGAGGAAGCAGTCAAATCTGCGGAGACAAATTTGAAAATGATCAGGAACTGCAAGAGCGACATAAACAAATATTTTTATAATACTGCTTGCAAAAGTAGTGTGAGCAACTTTTTGGGGCTTTTTTGTATCGCATTTTGTATCGTACGGTTGTTTTAACCTGGAGATACACAATAAAAAACTTAGTTAATAAATTATCATCTGATTCCTTTCTATTTTTACTTCCCAAGCCTTTTCTCGCGAGGAAGTGTTGTAATCGTGAGAAATTTTGAAAATGAAGTAATGTTTTTTGGTTGTTAAACAGGGTGTTCGTTTGAAAAACACTGGAATAAACGAAAAAACTCCGAGACACGTCACAAGACTTCTCAAGGGGGGCAAACTTTTTAACCAACAACTACGTCACCCCTTTCATCCTCTGCCCCCAGGGGCAACCCCTTAAAAATTTTAAATGACAAGGAGTACCGAGTAATAGCTTGTTTGAAAGGCCTTTCAAAGTCCGTTTGATTTTTCAAAAAAAAAAAATAGAAATATATTTATCTTAATATGTTCAAAACACACGAAAGTATCACTTTTTATTTCAATAAGTGTTCAAAATGTTGCCCGTTATTGGTCAAACAAAGATATAGGCGACGTTCAAATTCCTGACGGACATTTTCAAAAACATGTGGGATATCATGGCAGCGTTTGATGATGCGTTGACGAACTCCATCGAAACTTCCAGGTTGGGGAGTAAATACAACAGATTTCAAATGGCCCCATAGAAAAAAGTCTAATGGCGTCAAATCAGGAGATCCAGCAGGCCATTCTATAGACCCTGTTCCCCTAACCATTTGAAGGGTAGCGGAGAAAAACGGCATTAGTCGCATTATTTGGCTAAATTGGGCTTTCAGTTTATTTTGGTGGCATTTTCCTGATGCTATCGTGTAATCAGCTTCTCAAATTGTAAAAAGTGCCTAGGTTCACAACGTCCCTACACGTGTATGGAAAAACGGCATCAGTCCATATGGAAAGGCGGCGTTGCATCGCTTGGGCGCTTCGTTATTGCATCAGCCATTAGTTTACTATTAGAGCCCACGTGTGTTGTATACGCTGATATTTTGAATATTGACTATATTCGCTAATTTAGTTTATAATACGGGTATTGTGTATAATGGATAGTGACTATCCAGTTTCAAGAGAAAATTAACCAGGCCCATCAAACAGGGAAACGAAAAAACGCAAAAAAACAGGAAGACAAAGAGACGTAATGAAAACGTTGGACGCCACTACCTACGAACTTGGATCTGATCGTTTTTGTGAACGTTTTCGCTGTTTTACTACTGTTCCTGAACCTGAATGCTGCAGACTTTTCGTGAATTTAATGAACTAGGAAACACTAATGCACAAAACGCTTATCTTAGTGGTCTTATCACTACCCTTCCTGTCATGCGTAGACGCTCTCGAAAAAATGAAGCACAGTCAAAGCTTAATAACGCTTCATTTAGTTATCGTATCCGATTGGTTGACAATGGAATTATTCGTGATGTTCCAGTTTGTCTTAAGGCTTTTTTGTTTTTACACGGAATTACAGTTCGTCGAGTCCGTTACACAAGAGACTCATTAGTTGCAACTGGGAAATCGCCCATCGACATGCGTGGAAAACACAGCACACGACTTCACAAACTTTCAGAAAACGCGAAACAGAAAATGACCGAGTTTATTATAAGCCTTAAATGCCGCAAATCTCATTATTCTTTGGCAGATTCGCAAAAAGTTTACCTACCTGAAAATCTAAATATCGCAAAATTACACAAAATGTATTTTCTATTGGCAAGTAATAATTTGTAGAAAAAGATACTTGAGAAGACACTACATAAAAAAGGGGTGAGCGATTTTACAGTCTAAAGAGAACTTACCGAAAACGTGCCACGAAGTTCCCCGCTATCGAAAGTATCACGATGGATTACCAAAAAAACTTGCGCTGTCCAAATATCACGACAAATGATGTTTACTATAAGCGGCAACTAAATTTCATCAGCTTCAACATCCAAATTCTGTCAAACAAATTCTATCTTTTATACCTACGATGAATCTACGAGTATTGCTAAGAAAGGAGCTGATGATGTCTGTTCTATGCTGTATCACTTTTTTTATAACATCCTGCCTATGGAAGTAAAAGAACTTACCATTTTCTGTGACTCCTGTGCAGGGCAAAATAAAAACTCTACAGTTATTCGGTTTTTGCATTACTTGGTTACCAAGAAAAATCGTTTTACTGCTGTGAAAGTAATATTCCCGATCCGGGGGCATTCATACCTCGAATGTGATAGAGATATGAGTCTCGTGAACCAAAGAGCATACACTGAGGTACCGGATGACTGGAGAGATGAATTGAAAAATTGCCGTGCGAAACCTACACCATTTGAAGTCATTGATTGTGGCAAAAATTTTGATTTTCAAGATTGGAGTACGTTTTTTATCGCCGTCTTATCCAACGAAGTGCCCCACCAGTCAGGATGCCCAAGTTTTGCAAACAGAATCCTCGCGTGGATTTTGACAAATACATGGGCCTATATGCTAGTTCTAAATTTGATAAGGTAATTCGGAAGAATCTAAAAAAGACGCAAAAAGATCAACAAAAACGAGAAGAGCAAAGATTGAGAAAACTTTACCAGTGCCCCATCCCAATGGTTTCAGTAATAAGCGTATTGATGCTATTTTCTAACATATCCAAATAAATGTCTTCATTTAACTTTCCATTAATAAAGGATTCCCCAATCACTTTGTTTTCTAAAATGCCTGCCCATACATTAATTGTTTGGGGGTACTGGGTATGCCCGTCTACAAAAGTATGACGTTTTTTATTGCTCCAATAACTGCAGTTATGCTTACTAACAAATCCGTTTAGATGAAATGTGCATTCATCACTGAAGCAGATATTCTTTACATGAATCATTGAAGTATAATGAAATACTAGTCGCAGCAACAATTTTGCGTAATGAAGCATTACTATTTATTCCAAAATGACAAAACACTTCAACTTGAGCGGCTCCTATTAACTGGACGCCACTTTTGAATTATTTTTTGGAATGTATTCAGTTCAAAACACAAATGCGTGAAATATAACTAAGTGGAAACGTTGAACGGAAATCTCAGATTAGACTAAAATAATTTTTTTATCTACTCGTGCTTTCTGTTCAATACTTTAATACATGCTAATATTTGTTTTTAGATATATCTGTATACATGACAAATAGATGCCGTAAATCAAGAATATTACAAAGAACCAGGCAGGTTCGTTATGGAGAATGATTTTCGAATAATTTGTTGAAATTTTGCATATAAGTAGTTTTCAACATGGCGACCAAAAATCTCAATGGGGTCAACGTCCTGACACCCCTCCTGTACCCCCTACGAACCCACAAACCCCCAAATAGAGGACAACAAGTCTTAAAATAATATTATAAAAGAAAAAGTAAAACATACTGTTGCTGAGATTTCTCCAAGACTGGGCAATAGTGATAATGGATTGACCTTGACAGTGACCTTAAAGGTTATGGTCAAGGTCAAAACTAAATTTTAAAAGTAATGGGTATACTTCATTTGTAGCATATTCAGCAAAAAAATGTCTCACATCCAGATGCGATAAACACTACTTGGCTTTCTGCAACCAACAATGCACGCTTCATCGTGTCGTTGAGTCATTCCTCCATAGATGGACGCTTTTCTGTATTGACGAACCAGTCTCGTTGTTGACATTCCAACCTGAGTTTTTGCTCTTCTCGCCAATCTTTCTGACCTCTGTGCAGTTAATGCACCTGGTCTTCCACTTTTTGGGAGATTCAGACATGGTATTCCCTGCTCTCATCCCGCTAAATCGATAAATCGAACTTTTAAAAACAAATATCTCGAAAACTATTAGCTTCAGACACTTCTAACAAGTAAACATTTTTTCTTGACGAAATACGAGAAAATAAGATTTTTCAGTCAGTTGTTGTATACAGGGTAGCACAAAAAATTTATGATAAGTTATTTACAAACAACTATCACTACTCAAGACCTAATCTACAAAAACTGCTCGAAAATAGCTCCACCATGTTGAATACACATCCGTAGTCTTTGGATAAATGACCGCTGCACATCCCTCAGCATGTGTTCCCTTATGTTCAGAAAAGCATGCTTAATCCTTTCCTTCATGTTTTCCGGGGTAGATGGTGGATATCTTTAAACCTCTTGCTTAACGTTGCCCCATAGAAACAAGTCCTTCGGTGTCATATCTGGTGATCTACGAGGTCAAGATATAGGCCCATGCATATATCAGTTTCTGCTCCAATTTGCCGTGCACTTAAATGAAGATTTTCCTGCAACTTCAATAGAACCTCCAACTGGTTCACCTCATTGGTGACACTTGGATTATTTATACATTTTTTACTATATCCCACTGCTCCACTTGATTCAAAACGTTCTCGTAGTGTGGAAAATGTTTCCAGTCGTGGATGTCGCATATTAGTTGCTTATAAATGCGAGATGCTAGGAAACTATTTCTTTGGGCTTCGCCCAACACGAACGCCATATTCACCATTTCTTCTTCAGAAAAAATCATTTTCAAACACGTTTTTATTATAATGCTCATAAAGCTAATTTTGACAGTTTGTAACTAATCAACAATTTATTTGTTTCCAAGGATGATGCTATGTTTTAGGGAATTAAGCCGTTCCATAAAAGACGTGCTAATAACTGAAAAATAGCCGTAAAAACCCTTATGTGTCTAGTATCAAAAAAAAAAGCTTATAAAAAATTGAATCCAAACTTGCACAAATATACAGAGTGATGCATTTGAAATTTTTGAGAAAAACTACAATTTGCGTTTTTGACCACCCTGTATGAGAAAAAATGGAAATTCGAAAAATTAATATACACGATAAAAGCTGAGGTATGTAAGTTTTTTTGATACAAAATTCAGAACTCCAATTTTCAAAATGGCCGACTGAGGGGTTTTTCTAGACAAAACACCCTATATCTCAGTAGCTAATTACCAAAACCTCAAAGTATGTTATATCAATTTTCTTCTTTTGAATTTTGGAAAAATCACAACTTTGATATGTAGGTCGAAATTGGGACACCTTGTATAATGGCCAATATTTTAGAAATTTGCCCTCAAATGACATGTATAACATCCCAAAATGTATTTGTTTATGAGTAATATTCCGTCCACACATGGATGGGCCACCCTGTATATGTCAACTGAAGGTAAACAAACTTTGTTTCCAAATGCAACTTGATATTACTTTGTGTTAGTTAAAGTTAAAGCCAATGCATTTTGTGGCATAACTTTTGAGGCGTACGTTATTATAGAACGATCTTTGTTATCTTTCACCTATAATTTATGATATGATCAATATCATACAGTTTGTTTTGTTTTAGTAAATCCACGGAGTTTCAGAGAAAGGTTGAATTCGGAGATTTCGATATTTTATTAGTTAGTCATTTGTAATCCCAGCTTACCTTTGCGGTTCCATCATCGTTTGTTATCTCTAAGAGAGATCTTCGAAAATACATAAATGATGCTATTTATTGAACTAATAAACTCAAGGTAAACCAAATTTGACACGATTCTATCGAATGAATACGCAATATTTCTAAGTACCCTTATTTAGATAGGAGTGCAATTTCGCTTAAAAACAGATGGAAATAGGAATTACGACATGGATTAAAGACTCTCAGTTGTAAGATAAGATAAGACAATACCGATGTTTTAAAACAATCTGAAGAGATAACATCTCATTTCTGTGCAACTACAGCAGTGGAATTAGTGGTATATTGTACAGGTGAGGAACTTTCCGCAGCTTTTGCAAGTTTGTGTTTTGACATCTAAAATTTTTTTTTTTTAAATGTACGGTACGAAACTTCATAGGGTGATTCGTTAGTATGTTTCATGAAATTGATATAGTGAGTGTTGTAGTTGAAGAAAAAAAAACGGGATTTATAACATACCTTAGGTACATATCCTGAAAGCGATTTAATTGAAATTTGGTGCAATTTTTTCAAGTTATAAGGTCGAAATTATTAATTTTTCATTTTTATTTTATGTTATGTCCATGGATAGTTTTCGGAATGAGTTGTGATTTTTATTTTTTTTTCCGAAAACGAAGCTAGATATGAAAAAACCCAAAAGAGCCAAACGTTGTATACTAAGTGACATATAAATCCTAACACCCAGTTTAAATGGTTTTATTTTAATAAAATTTCGTATAAGTACTTAATAAGTAAATGATAAAAATTTCAAAATGATTGCACTGCTTTAAAGCCCTTTGACCTTTAATAATGTGTGGATGCACCCTGATGTGCTACGCATTCTCCAACGCGCCTAGGCATGCTTCTGAACAGATGGTCAATGTCCTCATGTGGTATCTCATTCCAGGCAACCACCAACTCCTCTCGAAGTGCTTCTAGAGTCTGAGGAGGACGTTGCAAATTGAGCAATCTCCTACCCATCATATCCCACACGTGCTCAATTGGGGATAAGTCGGGAGATCTTGGTGGCCATGGTAACAATGTGACATCATTATGTTGAAAGAAGTCTATTGTGACTTTTGCAACATGTGGTCGGGCATTATCTTGTTGGAAAGTTGGATCCGCCAGGGTGTCAAGATAGGGTAAAAGATGGGGTTCTAGAACTCCGTGGATATAAGGCTGCACGTTCATGTTACCTCTGATGAATATTAAAGGTGACCTGGAACCATAAGCTATAGCACCCCAAACCATAACTCCAACAGTGTGATGAACATGTCTTTCAACAAAAAACTGTGGATTCCTCCTTTCACCACGTCGCCTTCTCACCCTGGCACGACCATCGTGCATGCCTAAACAAAATCGAGACTCGTCACTAAAGACAATACTGTTCCATTCCTGATCCCAGAGTGACCGTTGTCTGCACCACTCAAGGCGATTACGTCGGTGTTCTCGAGTTAAAGGGAGGACCCAGTGTGGCCGGTATGAAAACAAGCCAAAACTTCTCATTCGTCGGTAAACACTTCGCATGCCAATAGGTCTTCCGTGTTCTGAAAACCATTCATTTGCAATGGACCTGTTAGTGGAGAAACGGTCCCTTAAGGCCAATAATCTTAGGCGGCGATCTTCACGGTCTGTTGTTCTACGGCGGCGTCCAGTGCCTCTTGCTCTTTGCGTACGGCCTTTTCGAAGCCATGCCTGACAACATCTAACCACAGTGTCTACACTTCTTTGCACTCTAACTGCAATTGCCCGAAAAGAAAGTCCAGCTTCCCGAAGTCCCACTATACGGCCCCTATCAAACTCACTAAGTTGACGAAATCGTACAGGTCTGCATACTCTAGGCATCGTAACCGATCGTAAAGGATGTCAAGAACCAAAATCCGCCAACGTTGATTCTTTACTGCGGCTGAAATATTAATTTTTAGAGGGTTAGTGAATTAAAAAAAAGCAGTATAACAACCGGAATGTCCAACTGATAAGGCTGAAAATTTTTTCACTTGTTATTTACAGTAAGATAAATACATTCACCAACTTTTATTAAAATAAAACCATTTAAACTGGGTGTTCGGATTTATATGTCACTTAGTATATTTTTATCTGCAACTGAAAAAAATAATCGATCAAATCGACCACTGCAAGGAAGACTGTTGTAACTCAGTTTTGGTTGAACTGAGATACAGGCATTAGAAGATTTTCTGATGAGTTTCGTTGTCAGAAAAATGACGATCTCATCAAAAATATGTTGCAAATTGCAGTAATTCTTGTATATTTAAGGTTATAACTGGTATTACTTTACAAACCTAGCGAAAATGACATTTTTTTTTTAAAAATTTACTATAGTTTTCGTTGGATCAATTAAAGAAAAAGGTACACCTGCTTTAGACTTAGTGGGATATTCATTCATGTTTCAAACAAGTTGTTGAAAAAAAACCTATTTAATGCCAATCTGAGTCACTCAAATTATATTCATCTTCGTCTCTGCACTATCATCGTTCTCAACTCCTGTATTTTCAGCACTGTTAATATTACGTCCTCCACTTATATTTCATTTCACGAGGCACTTCAACTTTTCTCCGCAATCGTCTTTGTCCCAATTTTCAGATGTTATATTTTATTTAAAACTAATGAATCCACGACCAACCGCAGACAGGGCTCTTTAGTAGTACAATATAGGTCTGTATCAGGTCCAGACCTGGAGATGAACAAATGAAAAGCAAACACGTGAGTGTCGCCTTAACAAAACCGAGGACTGTAGTAGTTGAACTTTCTGTTAAACTTATTTATTTCACAGGCATGAGAGAAACAGAGTGTGATGCGACAGATCTCAATTCATAACGTGCTGAAGAACATGCTATGCTTGAACCTTTTTGTTGTGTTAAAACAATTCATCATTATTTATGAACCAAACTTGCCTGGATTTAACTGTTGAGCAACTGCACTTAGCTTCTTTGCATCTGTCAGGATTATTTTGGTTCTTGGATTCATTTTAGTTCGCTTTGAAAACTGCTCTCTTCATACAGCTAATTCTTGAAACGTTTTCGCTATTAATTACCGTAACCTCAAACTATGCCGCGAAAATCCTAGTAAGTCAGACACTATTATACTTACTATATGACGCAGAAGATTTACTGGTTGCCTATAGTTGCATGACTGAGATACAGTATTCTTCCACCAATGAGAACCCGAAAAAGTCTATCGATATCATATAGTAACTCAAAAGCAAGGATATATGAGGTAGAAGATTTACTGGTTGCCTATAGTTGCATGACTCAGATACAGTATACTTCCACCAAAGAGAATCCGATAGAGTCTATCGATACCATATACTCGTAGTAACTCAAAAGCAAGGATTTTTGAGTCACTATAGTCCAGCATACATCCCGTACGGACGCCACTGGTAAATATATCAAAATATTCTACAAAAAAAAATATCTAAAAAACGGATTTTTCCTTAAAATTTTAACACCCTGTAGGTCAAAAGTTAAGAGGCTTAGGACGTATGTTCATATTCTTATTCATATTCTTCCTAAGATGAGCTAAGGAATCACATCCTGTATTTTTACCCATCAATTAAATTAAACCCTGTATACATTGTTTTCTTTTACTTCCTATGCCAAAACTAGCGAGAAATTTTTCTTTTGGCTATGGATGTTGGATTGTCCGTAGGCGGTAGACGGTCTGTGACTGTCGAACGCGGAGGTACCACCTGGCGGATCTCTAAAGTCACATGCGCACGTGTTCCTCGCTAGAGTCCGTGTCGCTTCCCCCCGTTCCCCTGGCGGTGATACAAGTATGAAAAAATGATAACGTCGGAAGATTGTAAATCGAAATTTTAGAGAAATAGCGAGCAAATTGCAAGCAACTGCTTACATATGCATAAAGTGCGTACTAGTAACATGCATAAAAGTTATTATCAATACATTAATAAACCTTCAACATAAAAAAACGATAACTTAAAAATTATGAAACGTACATTAGCATGTTTATATTGTGTAGTATTCAGTAATTTATTTTATGATCGTTATATCTCCGCACGATCGATATTCCAAATTTATTGAAATTAAATTTCATTGAATGTATTAAAATTATTAGAAAGTGATGTGCATTGTGCAAGTGAGAGTATCAATGTACTCGTATGTTGGTGCTTGAAGTATACTGAATGATAAGAAAAGGTAAACATCCACGCATGTAATATCCGATTTGAATAATTTTTCGCATATATGTGCAAAAATAATTAAATTTTCAGCTTGATTCGTCAGTTGACTGCAGAAGCTGGTTCAATAATGTATTGAGGATCTACGCTTTCATATACGAGCCCCTTCCCACTTCAGTTGGCCCACTTCAAGATGTGTGTACTTCTAAAACAATTTATTTTCTCAAAAACATTTTAGATACACTCTAGTCGTAAAAAATACATATTTGAAATCACTTAGACCTATAACTAATAGAACATCTGAACAAATAAACAATGTGCGAATAAATGCGCGAAGTTAACAAAGCAACAATTGAAATATTACCATTGGGTAACATCACCTTTATTTTTTATTACGGCTGAAATTCTTTGCGGCATAGTGTTAACCTAGTTTTGGCAAAAATTTGGTGTAAAACAATCCCATATTTGTTGAAGTTTTTGTCCCAGTTCGGTGATTGTACGAGCAGGATGTTGTCGTAGAACCTTTTTCATCTCGTGCCACAAAGTTTCAATAGGTGACAGATCTGGACTGCTAGAAACCCATTTCAAAAGTGGTACATTATTTTCTTCCATCCATTTTATAGCCTTTTTTGAGGTATGGCACGCTGCACCATCTTGCTGAAACACAAAATCTTGGACGGATGTCAAACATTCTTCCATCACTGGTAAAAGCGATTCTTCTAAATTTGCCAAATATTTGTTTGTATCCACATTTCCATCAATAAAATGAAGTTTTCCTACTCCTTTTGATGACATACTGCCGCAGACCATAATGGATGCTGGAAATTTCACTTTTCTCTTCAGTCAGTCAACATGGAATGCTTAATTTTTTTTGCGAATAACTCTACTGCGACTCACCAACACAGTGGAGTTAATAGTGGCTTTTCTTTGGCCTATAAACAAGTTGTGCAACTTTAGGGTTTTTACTTCACTTTTTTTTATAAGAAAACTTACCTTGCAGGTGCTAAATCCCAGTTTGTGGGCCTCTCTATGAGTTGTGGACCTCGAAATTCTCCTTCCAACAGCGTCACTCCACAGAGCACTTAATTGTAAATAATTGGCACGCCTGTTTTTCACAATTATTCTTCTTAATGCTCTTCGGTCGGCATTTGTGATATTACTTTTTTTTCACATATCGTGGCTTAATATTAACTGAACCAGTTACGTTATATCTTCTAACAATATTTCTCACACTGTACCGCTATAAGTCTTACAAGGTTGCAATTTCTGAGTTTGATTTCCCAGAGTTAAAAAATGTAATTATCAGTAACCGAATTTTCTCACTAATAACCTTTCCTCTACCCATTTTGATTAATAAAAACAATTGTCATGGCTTTATTTTTCACAGCCAGCTATGCGTTATTAACTTGTTTTGCATTAAAATGAAAATAGGTTGATATGCTGTAATTGCAACACCCTGCTACATTTTTATTATTTGTGTTTGATAGGAAAAAACTAAGATTTCAATAGTTGGGCCAACTGAAGTGGGAAGGTGCTCGTACGACCAACTTGACGCTATTCTTCATTTCAGCTTGCAGTAAATGCTACAGATTATTCAGACTGAAGCCCCGCAATGACCTCTTGGTGCTTCCTTTTCCTCGCAATAATATTGCACTCATGTGCAGCTCAAAGACTTCCGACTGTGGCCTATCCATCCGCGTACAAGGTGTCTCTAGTGATTCCAGAGAGTTCGTTCACAGAAAAAGGAGATAGTTTCACTGGAAAAGTAGAGATTGTGCTTGCACTTGAAGAGGCTAGCTACTCGATAGAGTTGCATGCTGGACGTGATTATTTGTCGATCGCCACACTGCAGGTGATACATGACGGGACGGCTTTACATACAACTTTTACAGTGGATGAAAATGATGTTTTGACTATAAGTGCGACACAACGTAAGTATGGACCATCAAGTTAATGCATAGATATTATAATTTTTGATCGAATTGAGATGCGCATATCCTCTAATTTTTCTCGATTTGACTCAAAAAACTCTAAAAATATACAGGGTGGCGCATCGAAAACGAAACAGACGCATTTACTGGCAGCTCAGATTTTGTTTTTAAAAACGCTTAGACCCGTCGATTTTGTTTTCGAGGGGGACACAAGTTTGGCAAAAAATCACGTTAGCTCGTGCACCCCCTAAGCGGGGGTGACACCACACCAAAATCTTAAATTGAAAGGGGGGTCGAGTGATACCTTATTTTAAAGGTCTTTCAATTCCCTTTATAATGATATAAAATTAGTGTACTTCAATTCAGTAGTTTTGAAGATTTATTGATTTAAAGCTTAAGAAAAACTAATACATAATCATTAGTGGAGATCAATACATTTGGCAGCAAAGTAATTTAAAATGAAGAATGAACTGACCCGTTAGGCAAGTAAATGTTGAAAATGGCCACCATGACTCTCCATCCAATAATAAAGATTTTGCTCAAAACGTTGCCGCACCTTTTGCAATATTTGAGGAGTAATTTGAAGGCACTCATTCACAATTCTTTGTCGCAGGTCTTGGCTGAGTACCATAGATTTCGCTTTTTAAATGACCCCACATAAAGAAATCCATAGGTGAAAAATCTGGCGATCTTGGGGGCCATTCAATGGCACCTCTTCTACCAATCCATCGATCGCTTAAATATTTGCCAGCAAATTGTTTGGAGAATTTTAGTAGATTTTTTGCTATATCCTTACGATATAATAAGAGTACAGGCATTACTTCCCACTGATTTTCCAACACATGTGACCTTTTGTCAGTGGTATCTTCAAAAAATTACACAAGATCCGCAATTTGAATCAATGATTCTGTTCACGGACGAAGGTAATTTTTTTCGAAATGCCATTCAGAATTTCCACAATAATCATTTGTGGGCAGCAGAAAATCCTTATGCCGTAACTGAAACCCATTTTCAACACCAATTTTCGGTTAACGTATGGGCAGGAATGATTGGCAACCATTCTTCTTGCCGGGACGACTTGACGGACAGACTTACCTCAATTTTCTTCAACAATAGTTGGCTTTGCTGCTTGATGATGTTCCGTTAGTAATAAGAAACAATATGTGGTACATGCATGATGGTGCACCAGCGCATTTCAGTGTAGCGGTTCGTAATTATTTACAAACTGTTTATCCAAATCGTTGGATTGGCCGCGGTGGTCCCCAGACCTGAACAGCTTAGATTTCTTTTTGTGGGGCTATCTTAAGACACTAGTGTAAACAAGCCCCATTAACACTGTAGAGGAATTAAGAGAAAGAATAGTTGCACCTTGTGATAGAATAAAAAACACTCCAGGGGTATTTCAACGAGTGCGCAATTCAATGAGAAGGAGGGCGGAATCATGCATACTAAGTGAAGGAGGCCATTTTCAACAATTTTTGAAATCATTTCGTTGGTTTTAATGTTATGTTTATGTTGTCAGTTGTTGTTGTTCATTACCCCTAATGTGTTTAATTTTTTGCAAGTTAGACAATAGAACGGTTTTTATTTTTTTACTAAAAAATGGCGCATCGAAGGAAAACAATTCAGGAAATATCATTTGTTTTAGATTGAACGGGGAATTCAAAAATAATTTTTACTTGGCAAAAAACCATTGGCGTACAATTTTTTCCTTAAAAAATATCGAAATCAATACCCTTACGCACGTCACTGTTAAAGCTAAAAATTATGTTTGTATTGAACAATATGCAACTTTATTAACTTTCGCTACGTACTAAATATCAGTGAAATATCTGAAGCGGTTCTGAAAATATTAATTAATTTCCATTTATTTCCTAAAACTTCAGCACCCCGAGTTTTTGTAAGGAAACATTTTGGATCATAGCTTATAAAGCAAACTAACATTAATTTTTTGCGTAGATTCACACCCTTAAATATTCGCATATCATTAAGGAACACCCTGTAGATAAACAAATAGGTTAACCTAACGGGTGATTTTTTAAGAGGTATAGGATTTGATTTAAAAAAAAACACAAAAAATTTGAAAAAACGATTAAATCTTTATTTGAGTCGATAGAACGGTCGATATAATTTAATGTTTAAAGATTATTTCATGTAAATGTTGGCCGCGGCTCCGCTTTAGATGGTCTATGCGCAAGGTCCAATTTTGGCACACTCTCTCCAACATATCGGCCGGTATCTCACGAATAAATGCTTCAATGTTGGCTTCCAGTGCATCAATCGTTGCTGATTTATCCCTGTAGATATTAGCCTTAACATGGCCCCACAAGAAATAGTCGAACGGCGTTAAATCACACGATCTAGGCGGCCAATTGACGGGCCCCAAACGTGAGATAAACTGTTTACCGAACTCGCCTCTCAATAGGGCCATTGTTTCGTGTGCGGTGTGGCATGTGGCACCGTCTTGTTGAAACCACATGTCAGCCAAGTCCAGCTCTTCCATTTTGGGCAAAAAAGTTTGTTATCATCGCACGGTAGCGCTCGCCGTTCACAGTTACGTTCCGGTCATTGTCGTCTTTGAAGAAGTACGGCCCGATGATGCCACCGGCCCATAATCCACACCAAACAGTGATTTTTTCGGGATGCATTGGTAGCTCTTGCAATGCTTCTGGCTGGTCTTCACTCCAGATGCGGCAATTTTGCTTGTTAACGTACCCATTCAACCAGAAATGAGCTTCGTCGCCGAACACAATTTTTCGATAAAAATGTGGATCTTCCTCCAACTTTGCCAGCGCCCATTCACCAAATGGGAAACGTTGTGGGAGGTCGTGTGGCTTCAATTCTTGCACCAGCTGTATCTTATAAGGTTTTACACCCAAATCCTGTCGCAAAATTTTCCACGTAGTGGAGTAACAGAGGCCCAATTGCTGCGAACGGCGGCGAATCGACATTTCACGGTCATCACTAACACTGGCGGATACAGTCGCAATATTTTCTTCAGTCCTCACTCTACGTCTGCGTGTTGGTGGTTTAATGTCCAATAATGTAAACTGGGTTCGAAATTTAGTCACAAGCTTCCGAATAGCTCCCTCAGTAGGCCGACCAAATTGGCCATAAATTGGAAGCAGTGCTCGATGCACTCTCTTAACCGAGCATGAATTTTGATAGTAATATTCAATAATTTGCAAGCGTTGTTCGTTCGAAAGTCGATTCATGGTTAAATTATAGACCAAACTGAACAAGTTTGACAATGACACAAGACACGATTCACGTGTCATCTGTCAAAAACAATGTTGCCAAAAAGATACTAGCAAAAAAATCACCCATTACATACCAAGCGGCACATGAGTTGGATATTGCGACGCACGCGACTGCAGATTTTTGCATTCAGGTTTTTCGAACTCAATATCCCGGTTATCTCCGGGCTTTGGTGTTAACGCTCTGTCTCAACTACAAGGGCACCTTGTATGGGTGCCATCTATTTGGCTTCTGAATTACGATCATCGGTATCTCTTTCTTACAGAACTACTAGCACATACCGACTATAAGCTCGTGGTAACTTACGATGGTCGTCTCAGTACCACAGATATGAACGGAATCTACAAAAGCAGTTATGAAGACGGAACAGGAGCTAAGAAGTACCTGGTAACCACCCAGTTCGAATCCATCTACGCCAGAAGGACATTTCCCTGCTTTGATGAACCGTCCTTCAAGGCTACGTTTACAATAGATATTACTGTGCCACAAAAATTGAACGCAATGTCTAATACTCTATTCACCACGTCACTTTTACCCGATGGGTAAGATTTCTTGAGTACATATCTACAAACATCGATAATCAAAATGTGGAATGGTGAACCATTCTGTCCCTTTATAATTATGCAGGGTGGTCAGTATCAAACAGTCCGCAAGTAATGTCGAAAACCATAAACCTAAAAGAAATTCCTCCCAAGCATCGGTTTAGAATCTTCCCCCGGCTACCTGACGGTGATCTCGAATTTGACATTGACCTCCAAAGGTATTCAAATCTTTTTTTTAAATTTCACATTCTGATGAGTCTTTGACCTTTATGAAACTTGACCTTTGAAGGTCATGGTCAAGTTCTAACGTGAAATCAATAAATAATTTCTCAAAGTTAAAATAATTTTTCTAACGGTTCACAAACTTAGGATTTTGCCTGGCTAGTCATTTTTTTACTGTAAGACTAGACTTCGAAGTTGAGTCATTTATTTTAACAGTGAGTAGATCTGATCAAAAGAAACGTTTTTTCCTTTAACATTTTTGTGGTAAAGTTAAAGTAACAAAGTTATAGCCCTTTAGAAGTTTGAGTACCTAAAAAATGGCACATGTTTACGAAAATGCTGAACTTGTGGACATGATTCTTATTTACGGGGGGGGAGTTTTTACAAAATGCTGCCGCGGCATCACGGATTTATGCGGATCGGTTTCCCAATCGAGTGCAACCGATCCCTCGTGCCTTTGTTAATGTAGTACAAAGGGCTCGTGAATCAGGTGACCTCACACGAGCCGGTGCTTCAAGACCGCGCGATCAAATACAGGTCCGCACTGAAATACTTGTCGGGAGGATACTTTATAAAACAAGGTAACATTTTTTCTTTATTTTTACACACATATTTTGGTTTATCTTCCTTCTACAATCATTATCTGAAAATTAATGACTCAACTTCAAAGTATAATTGCTCATTACTTCTACTCGTCTCATCAAGTTGCATAGACCTTATAGCAGACACTATCTCGTCTTCGTTTCTAAAGTTGGCAAATAATGAATCTGCAGCTTCTAAAAACGCCTGTTTTATGATTTCCCCGTCTTCATAAGGTTTCTGCTTTTGTGTAATTATCTGGTATGATTCTTCAGTTGCAGCCTTACTGTTGTCGATTGTTTTTAAAAACATTGTCTGTTATCCAATTAACTGATTTTTTAATTGTTTCAGTTTTTCCGTTCTGGTTGCAGAACGTAATGGGAATGATTTTTCAAAATTCGAATCTACAGTTTTATAGTGAATCTCGATATTCCCTTTTTTAGCAACGGAAGCAGGTATATTACATAACAAACATACATTTTTACCTTTAAATGGTATGTCCTCACCTTCTTACAACTGCTCATAATGTTTTCAATTGCAGACCAACTCTAGCCCAACCGCTGGACTTTGTGTCGTTAGTTTTAAACTGAGCGCATTGTCGCCGCGCCTTGCGTATTTATTCCGTTCAAAGTAGTCGAGATCGTTCTCGAACAGATCGCTCACCGCAGTGTTGCCGCTGCTTGTATTTATTATGAGAATTTACAAAGTTTACGGAAGCTTCTATGATGTTTACACTTTTTTAAAATATGTTGTGGTAGCTCGCGATCGACGTTTTGGCGACCACTGATCTAGTAGATAAAATAATCTTTCGAAAAGAAATTCTACTTGACCATCTGACAGTAACCTTGAATTTGACCGATATTTTGACATTAAAGATGAATCAAGAGAGCCCAAGTTGGCTCGGCTTACATAGGTTTTGTATGTTACCACTTTTAATAATTCCAATGCCTACTGGTGTAGTTGTCAATATTTTCGTCGGTCGGTCTCTCCGCTATCCTATAATCGCCTATAATTTGAGAAGTACCGTTCGGAAAAGGTCAAAAACAAAAAAAAACGGTGGTCCCCCGATGGACAAGCGTCGTCGTCGGTGGTCGTATATCATAATCGGCAACCTCTTTGGCACTGCTGTGGGCTGAGTACAGTGAAGGTCAATTCTGTCATTCACGTGGGATTGGTCAGCGGGAGAAGGAAAATCGTTTAATACATTTTCGTAGCTATCCTTTTCTCGGAAGTTCTAACTTGTGCTAAAGATAATCCGTTACGAACTGATTTCAATAAAATATCAGGAAGAATGGACTCGAATTCATTTTAAAGTCGTGGTAGGAACAAATCAGTAAAATGTACATTGGCCATCCTGTATTTTGGTGAGTAGCATCAAGGTCCGAGTAAGTCAACCAGTCCATTTTTCTAGGACTACCCACTACCAGTTTGAAACAACCCCAAAAATGTCAACGTACCTGATAGCATTCGTGATATCCGAGTTCACTTGTTCAGCATGGAACATGCCAGAAGTCAACTCCGTGAACAAAGTTTGCTCTAGGGCCCAGAAAGAAGACACCAGAAGGTGGGCCGTTGAAGTATCACCAAAACTTTTGAGCAGCTTGAACACCTATACTGGTATTCCATATACTAGTTCTATGAAGAAAGTGGATCAAGTCGCCATTCCGGATTTCAGATCGGGCGCTATGGAAAACTGGGGACTGATTACGTACAGGTAAGAATTGAAGAATGCCCGCATTCGTGAGCATTACATTATGACGCACTTTATTCGAGTATTTTTCCGTCACTAGGGTATTTATTTATGCGGTATGCCTTGTAGTTCATTTCGGTGAACTAGTTCAATCACTGAAACGAACTAATGCTAGGAGTTAAGCAGCGCTGGGCGCGGTTACTATTTGGATGGGTGACCGCTTCGGAACACCTCGTATTGTTGTTTTCTTTCATTTTTTTTTGTTAAAATGGATTTTAATGCTCCACGTGAACTATCTCTGATTTGGTAGATGTAGCTAAGAGATATACGAGTACACGTTTCCAATCTCTTAACTAGAAGGCAGTAAAGCTAAAAAAATTATATTTTTGTGGTTAATTTATATTTAGTACATTTTAATATTGATTAATTTCTTCATGAACCGCAAAAGTTAGCTAATTTTTAATTTTCTGTTGCCGTACTTACCGTTGTATTCAGTCTCCTTTCTATTATCTCGTTCTTTATAGGAGGGTCGCAAACTTCCAAAAAAAATACTTAGTATAACATGCGGGTTTCACTGGTGTGTAGGATGTTTCAAGCATTTTTTTGATAACGAAAATTAATGATACTATTGTATTTGAAGATTTCGGAAAAACATGACTGTTTTTGAGATTAGAGTTACGCCCCCTAGTGACCAATGTAAGAAGCTGAAAATGATTGCCTCCAATTCCTCTAGGCCACCTTTGTTGAATTTTTTTGTGATAATGAACCTACCTGACGCTTTTTTCCTCATTAAACTGTAGCGTAAAAATTTGTTGTGGTTAATGAATTCCGACTAGGTAGAAGGATATGTTTTTCTCCTAATTATCATAGTGTGAAATGGAGGCAAGGTGCACGTGACATAAGTCAATCCTTTCATAGTTCTCTAATTAAATTTGTATTTTTAGAGCTATTTTTTGAACTTTCCTATATCTATTATGCTCTTTAGGCTTGCATTCAGCTTGTTATACAGGGTGTAAACGTTACGATAGTCATTATTTAAATGTGTGTTAGGCAAAAGCAAAAGTTTCATATAAAAGCATTTTTTTTTTTAGAGAAAAGTGACTTTAAAGTAAAATAAAATCTAATAGCGCCGCAATGCCAGACGCAAATTACGACGGAACGCAGTGTAAATAAAGATGGAGTTTGTTATTTTTGGCTGTTACATATTATTTCATTATTGGATAATGTACTCGTAAAATGCAAACAATTAAAAAAAACAGACCTACCACTAACTGTCTCAGCGCTTCACCTGGTGTGTGAAAGTCTATTGAACGTATTAAAAAAATCCACTTATAATTAGGGAATACAATTTTGATACACACATTGTTTTTGTTTTTAAAAAAAAATTTCCGTACGATTCACTATGGTATGCGATAATCCTACGCGGCAGCCTAATTCCCGAGTGCTGATATCTGCATTGATTTCCACGATATTTAAAATTTCTTCGTTCTGCTCTACAGTAACCTGTCTTTCACGAGTGCGAATATTAGTGTGCTGAACGCTTCCTGTATCTCGAAGTCTTTGGTACACTTGCACAAATGTCCTTCTGTCTGGGTGTACCCGTTGGCGAAATCTGTCGCGATAAATTTGAGCTGCAAGACTTGAATTCTGACGAGCTTCACCGTAAACTAACAACATGTCGGCGAACTCTGGATTCGAGAACATTGTAAAAAGACACGACGACGTACGCGAACAAAAACAAAACAGCACGCCTGATGCTCGATAACTAACCACTGTTACCGTTTGCGATCGATTGCCGGTTCGATAAGAGTGATGACGACGCGCTGTTGTCATGTGTGTTTTAAAGATTTAATTTAATGACATTTACTTACTGAGTACAAATTTTGGCTTAGAAAAACTTAATGCCATTTGTTTGTTATTTACCCAATTTAAAAACGTTTTAGATTAGATTATAAAAATGAGCAAGACTGTGGTGATTGTGGTCGATATAAAGGAATTAAAGTTGTAAACTATAAAGCCACATAGACAAACATCTATTGACAATCATGACTACTATAACGTTTACACCCTGTATAACTTGGTTGGCAAACATGTGGAGACTTCAAAAAGTGACAAATTATGACTAGGCAAAAGTAGGATGTATCTGTTTCCAGTTTCGTAGCTGCAACAAACTCATTTTAATTTTGTTTTGCATTCATTAACAGTTCATTCATATACGATAGTAAAGTGAGTAAATTTGCCTATTCAGACCAAGACCTGCATGACTCGCTAGTCGATAAACAAACATATTCTTAATTGCTCTTGTTTGCATTATAAACACTCTTAGCTCACTACAATCAAATCTTAGGCAAGAGACGATGAAACAAGCTGAAGACAATTTATTGCATATACAGGGTGCCCAATAAGTACCACGACAAACTTAAGGAGAAGGTAGGATTTGAACTGACCTCCCAAATAACAAAAACTTACCTATATAAAACTGACACCGTTATTGAGATATTGAATTTTTTCTTAAATTTTAAAAAATGAACTTTTTCATCTGTGGTCTTTAGCTGCATGTACAAATAAGGTTATACTTTGTTCATTTTTTATATAAAATACTTCTAAATAGTTGCTTTATCATATACAAATGCAATGTAGTTAAATATATTAAGGAACCATGGTATGAATAATATGTTCTTCGAAATTCAGATATAGATTCCTAAGAATTTCGTACAATGCGATTGGTCGCTAGATTTATTTGCAAGAAATAGGCTTCATCTATGATGTTACTTACACCTTCCAGAAAGTATGGATCATACCCATGGATCTTTCTAATCCATTCAAATTCGTTGGTAGTGACGCACTGAATTGAACCACAAAAGTGAAATTTGTGCGTATTGGTGTGAGAAGACGCTGGTTTGTGATCTGTTCGAATTTCTTCCAGAGAAGCTATGTTCCTCTACGACCCCAAAGAGGACCAATCTATCGATAAGCAAACTGTAGCTAGGGTTATAGCGCACGAACTTGCTCACTCGTGGTTCGGAAATTTGGTCACCTTGGCTTGGTGGTCGGAAGTATTCCTTAACGAAGGTTTTGCTAGATATTTTGAGCACAAAGCGGTCAACGAGGTAAGGTGAACATTAGGATCGACGCAGGTACAAAGTTTCACATTTCATTCACATTGAACTATGTGAGACGACATGGTACGAGTATGAACTGCGATGTATTGTCTTCATACAGAGTGTTCGACAATAAGTGAAAAAGATGCTCCGAGAACGGTTTGAGGGTCAGCGGTAGCGTTAGGCGGCTGAAGATTGAAGACAGTGTTTTGATATATGTCATCAAAACATCAAGCTTACCTCGTTTGTGCGATTTTTTCGATACTACATCCTAGATACCAAGTATACGGGATGTTCGAAAAATAGACGGAGATATTTCAGAGGGTGATTCCTTGTTAAAAATTATGATAAAAGTTTTTATAAGCTTGGGCGGAAATGCAGTTTTTAGAATACAGGGTAATACTTTTTTTTATTTATGTATTAAAAAATATTCACTCGATTGTGTTAAACTTTGTAATAATGTTTGTTTAGCTCTAAGGATATTAAAATTATTACGCCCCGTGCCACCCCAAGGAGCACCTTAGTGAATATTATCGGCAAAAAATGTACGCCACTACCTTTTTTGTCACTTTAATATTTATTGTTTTATTAAGCATCTAAAAATACAGCTTCGTTGTCTTTTGTATTTTTTCGGTATCTCACTACGTTAACGTTAAAAAAATCGTTTTATTGCATGTCACTGTTCAAAATTGGCTTATTAGTTGTTGTTGATGGACATGATTGGGATAGTACTGACGCGAAAATGTCAAACCTCCATGCAGAAACGATTTTTTGTTATCCAAGGCCCTTGTCATTCTTTTAGCAAAAATTAATTAACGAATTTTGTCCAGTGACTTACAATAAAACGTTTTTTGCTCGATAACGAAGTAGGATACAAAAAAACACACAGGAAAACAAGAAGTTGTATTTTAGATGCTTAATCAAACATCATACTATGTCACTACTACTAATGTCACGAATTCCTGTTAAGGAGTGACAGATTAGGTCAAAAGCAACCGATTTTGTCATATATTGTCCTATCCAGAAGTTAACCGTTTTTGAGTTATTTGAATTTTATTTTTTTTATTTTTTATTCCGATTTCAGACGGTTAAATTTGAAATACAAAAAACTACATGTTTGATTTTGAATTTTTTGTTATCGTCGCATTGTGGACATTCCAATAGTTCACAATAAGTAATAAAATGTTGAAAACTTACAAAAGTTTTAAAATTACGCTTTTGAAATGTATGATTTTCTTATTTTATTACTAACATATTCGATAAAAAATGCAATTTTCTGTAAAAAATATCCTAGTAATGAAATGTGCAAATTATGTAAATAATATATCTATCTAACAAGCTTTCATTTGAGGTACAAAAGTTACAACTAACTCAAGTACAAAGACATAAAATTAAAAAAAGATGAGTAAAGTTGTACGAACGATAATTACGTAGGATAAATAAAAGGCTTTTATTTTAATTACAGTTTTGTTTAATTACATTTTCTTTAGTATTTTACAGATTCTGCTCAAATTGTAATCCCCTGTTACGAATACACGCCCGCATTCTCTTACGTAATTCACTTTTGGCAACTCTAGTTGTTAAGCGGCTTTTTATTTGGTCAGCTGCAATGATTATCCTTGTAATTAATTCATCGCGCGTTGGTACGGGCGAAACATCGTACATCAGGCTTTCATATGTCCCCACACATAGTAATCCATCGGTGTGAGATCTGGGCTTCTTGCTGGCCAGGCAATGAGCCCTCCTCTGCCAATCCATTGATTTCTAAATTTAGAGTCTAAATACGCCCATACTAATCTACTAACTAACCGCATATTTTGTCTAGTCGCCAATGGGACGTCTTCCATTAATGGAAACAAGTGATTTTTCAAGAACTATTTATACACTTCTTGATTTAAATTGGCGGGCAGAAAATGAGGTCCAATGAAATATCCATCAATGATGCCCATCCACACATTGACTGAAAACCGGCTCTGAGACTCCGTCGGTCTTATTTTTCGGGGGTTTAAAGCTTCTTTATCAGCCCAGTAATGAGCATTATGGTAGTTAGTGATCCCGTCCTTATCAAACTTCGATTCATCGGAACACAGAATTTTATCTCATGTAACATGTACCTGCAGAAATCTAATCGTCTTCAATCACATGCACAGGCGTGTAGTTATAAGGGTATAATCTTGCAGTATGCACAGTAAACCATACTTTGTATTGTGATATACCCAACTGACGTAGTAGGGTCTTCCTGAAACACACGAAGGATTTCCTCTCCAAACACAGTAACATGAGGTGCTCGGCGATTCGGGAAACGTTGCCGATATTCACGGCGGGCAGCTGCAGAATCGCCGTTACAAAGTCCATAACAGAACATTATGTCTGTGTATTCTTCATTTGTAAAAGTTTGCCCGTGCTCGCTATGGCGAGGTCCTGGCGAATCTTCTGCGTCTGCCATGATGATAACTAAACCTAATTCTCACTCGGCGTGCGGCGATGGCGTAACTACAATGATGAATAATAACAGCTCTCTCTCTCTCACTCCTCCACTAAGTCAGCTCTTCTCGCTCGCATAAAACAATCATGGCATGCGAGTCCTTTGAGGAGAGTAACGACTTGTTCAAACAGGTAATACAACTTCCTTAAAAATCCAGCCTCTGAGGGTGTCATTGTTGTTTCTCTGCATGTACTTCAGATATTGAACGCTTAATACCTCAAATGAAAGCTTGTTAGATAGAGATATTATTTACATAATTTGCACATTTCATTACTAGGAGATTTTTTACAGAAAATTGCATTTTTTATCGAATAAGTTAGTAAAAAAAAAGAAATGATACGTTTAAAAAGCGTAATTTTAAAACGTTTGTAGCTATTCAACATTTTATTACTTAGTATGAACTACTGGAATGTCTGCTATGCGACGATAACAAAAAACTCAAAATCAAGCATGCAGTTTTTTTGTATTTCAGTTTTAACCGTCTGAAATCGGAAAAAAAATAAAAAACATAAAATTCAAATAACTCAAAAATGGTTAACTTTTGGATAAGACATGATAGGACAAAATCGGTTGCTTTTGACCTAATCTATCACCCCTTAACAGGAATACGTGACATTACAAGTTACAATGTATATTAAATTAACAAAAAAGGCAGTTGCGTCAATTTTTTACCAATAATATTTGCTAAGGTGCTCCCGGGTCGCCATTGGACCTAATAATTTTAACCTATTTAGGGCTAAATAAGCTTCTTAATACAACGAATAATACTGCCAAAATTCGTCTGAATCGAATGCAGACCAATACTCACAGTTATCCAGATGCGATCTCTCAGCCAATCTTCTTTCTGTCATAAGTTCGCAGAGATACACTCTACAGACATTGTGCCACAACCAAGCATGGTCATTGAGCGTGACATTTAGTCATTCTTTCATAGATGATGCTTCTGGTGACGCCCCAGCGCTCATAGCGAACAAACGCGGCATGAAGTATCTGCATACTAGGAACTATCTATATACTTCTAAGTTGGTATTTTGGTGTTCTTTTTCATTACATAGCCGTTCTTAACCAGAATCAAAATCAATGTTTTCTATTGATCTAGAGAGGCCCAGTTTCTGTTCGATCCTTCAGAAGACACGGTTACTACTAAACAGTCTGCAACATGTACAATAACACACGAACTCTCCCACTCCTGGTTTGGAAAACTTGGTCACAATGGCTTGGTATTCAGTGACTTTTCTCAATGAAGGATTCGCTACATATTTCGAAACTTTTATAACTAACGAGGTAATTATTATCACTTTCTGTATGCTACTAATATAGCCTGTCTGTTAATTCAGAGGTTTAAGTATAAAACTATTACCGATACGTATTTTGGCTGTTGATAAAGGATGCAATGACTGATTGAAATGTGAAATTTTAGTATCTGTAGTGGTACCTGCTTAGTGTAAAACTATTCTGCCTGAAGATAACTAATCATATACGAGACTGTATTTCGGCATCCAAAAAGGGATGTGAGAGATACTATACTATCTATGAGACAGTATTTATTTGTTTATCTATTACAATTTGGGGTGTTCACAGCCAAAGTCAACACACATCCGTTACAATAAAATATGAGTAATGGTACAAAATTAAGATCTTAATACGATGTGTTTTTCATATAAAACTTCGCCTTTACTTTACCCTTAAATATAGTGATCTTATCACAAAACAAGTCCTCTTCACGAACCTGACTGTAGGATCTTTGTGCTTTTAATGGAGAATTATTCGACAATATGGTGACTCAAATATCTTATAGTGATGATAACTCCTATCTGGAACTTTAAACTGAACTAGGGAAAGCAGATTATTAATTAATTTATATATACAGGGTGTCCGCAAAGTTGGGGTTTTCCTTTACACGACGCGACGTGTAGATCTTGAAAACATAAGCAATTTTTCTTAGTACCATATACACCAATGTCTTAAGGGAACCGAAATAAAGGGCTCTGCAACATCAAAAATATCTGAACACCGTCCTGTAGCCGCGACATCACCGACTGGTACAAGGTCACTGTCTCAACCCCACGACAGAACTGGGTCGGGGTCAGTGTGTCAGGTCAGTATGCAACCTTCAACCGACGGTTACGGTCACGCGTGTAGAGGTAATCGCGTAGACGAGAATCCCTCAACAAGCACTAGAGACGTGGCTAGAGAAGTGCAAGTATCAAAAACTAAAGTGTGGCAAACGCTGCGTGAAGAGGGGCTGTATCCGTTTCACGTCCAACGTGTACAAGCCCTCAACCTGACAATTTTCCAGCAAGAGTGCGGTTTTGTGAGTGGTTGTTGCATCAACATGACAATAATACGGACTTTTTGAAGTGCATATTGGTGACAGACGAATCTACGTTCACGCGTAATGGGGTGAATAGCTTTCACAACACTCATGTTTGGTCAGTAGAAAATCCGCACGCTGTCCGTCGGGCACATTTTCAACAAAAATTTTCGGTGAATGTTTGGGTTGGCATGGTGAACGGTATGCTCATTGGACCATTTATTCTCCCAAATAGATTGGACGGGATGCAATACCTAGACTTTTTACGCAACATTTTGCCTTCCTTGTTAGAAGATGTGCCATTAAGTGTAAGACAATCAATGTGGTTTCTGCGTCTGCTCGGTAGCGCAACAGCTGATTTCATTTTCTGTTGGAGCGGTATGATTTCGGGCAGAGACGTACTTAGCCCTTCTCGTCAACTGGAGATTGAGTACTTTTTCCTTTATTTTCTTTGACTTGGTCGCCCTCATTTCACTACACATTACCTTTGTTATTTTAAGGGTAGCTGTTTTTGAAAAGGAAAACCCCAACTTTGCGGACACCTTGTATAACGAATAGCATATATTTTTCTTCTATGTGATAACATGTTGAATCTTTTTGGACCATAATTGCCCTCAGTGTTAGGAGTGCCACATTTGAAGGCAAGTGTATGAGAAAATTTTGGATTTTTTCAATTCAATACGAGTGAGTGGCTTAGAAAGCATTCCACATAATTACATTTATCCAAGTTCAGAAAACGCTGTTTTTGTCTATGTAATCAGCTATCTTATTGGATATTTTTGCAGTCTCTAATACATTGAACTGTAGAAAAAAGTTTCAAGTCTTCAGTGTATAATAGATGTAGAAGAAACAGATCAATTCAGACATCTGCTTTGAAAAGAGTTAGATTATTTGGTTCTGCTACTATCTCATAGATAGCGCTAGAACCCTCAATCCCTTTTTGAAACGTCTCGAGTTTTTGAAATATTTATACATCATTTTATAAAAAATTACACACACTGTAAAAAACGTACTGAATGATAGGAAAAAAACACCAAGTAATAATTCATTTATCACAAAAAAAAATTATACATGCCTCTCACGGTTAGGTAAGTAATTGATAGAGATTTCAGAAAGATCCAACTGTTTAAGAACTTGTCAAAAACCCACTTCTCGCCTCCTATCAAACTCGCTAAGCTCTAGGCATAATGGACATATTAAATCAGCCCTTCACAACGTTTTTTGCTATAACCTAAATAAACATATACCTAAAGAATCTTTGTAATACATTGGGTCTTCTTTTTTCTATGCCATTTAGTT